TGATAAGAACCTCCACAAGGACAGAAGCTTGTGGTTTTGCGAAGAAGCGGGACATATTATTGGCATTTTACTATAATTATCGTATGCATCCGCTCCATAGTCTCGAACAACATTTGGATCTGCTAGACTGTATTATTGAGATGTTATGGGAGATACACCATAGCTTAAGGGATAAGGTGAAAATACAAAGGTTATATGAAACTGATCCAGAACCTTGGGCCTCAATCATAAATGAGATTGTGCTATGGTCTGACGATGACCTTTCGTATGAAGACCTTACATATTTGCTTCGAGAGAGCTATGGGACTACCCGTGATTTACAGCGAAACTTTAAGAAGACTATAATCTTATTCATGAATACCAGTTTATGAGCTACCAATTCTAGGCTAGTTAAGGGACCGTTGGCTAAGTGCTTTTCGAGAGTTCTAGATGAAAGTTACCAGTTAAGCGGGCTTCAAGGCCTGCGAGGATACTGCGGTCTCCATTTGTTGTCGGGGAAGGAAAGGTACCGCGACATGACAGTAATGTTATTGTATTTGAAAATTATAAAGACCATGTTGAAGAAGCTGATAAATCAGCATTCTTAGGTTGGTTTCAGAGAGGGTATAAACCCAAAAATAGGCATGTACATTTTTCTTATATTTTCAAATACACTGGTCACATAGTCACAGTATCTTGACAGTCAACTTTTGTCAACAGGAAAAAGTTTAATGAGCACGATGACCAAATAAAACCAGCCTTTAGTATTGGCTTATACCCAGTCGGTCACAAGACATGGTTCCACCAGCTGATAGATGCTGAAACGTCTTTAAGCGGTTCGGTATGGTAACGCTTATGTATCTGTTCACTACACATTTTCTTGTTAACCAGTTACACAACATTAAGAACCTCATACAACACTATGCACATACCACTGAGCAGCCCACTGTCATAGAGTCATAACTTTTTAATGTTGTACCTAACTGTGTCCTTCATGTTTAAACAGCACATGGATGCATGCTTCTACTATATTCGTCAAGTAGCAAAATTCGGGAAAGTAAAGTTTAGAACTACAATGACGGACTCTTGGTTCCAGAACAAGATAAAAGATATATTTCCCGCTTTTCAAAAAGACCCTCAAGTTCTATTGTCGGAGAGCAGCTTGATTAAAGCTGTCACAGGTCACCTAATATCCCTAAGCACATCTTGGGCCAATGTAGACTATGTGTTCATGCCACTCCTGCCCACGAACAAAGCTCACTGGATGCTAGGGCTGGTAGAATTTAGAAGCCATACTTTGATGCTGTTCAATTCAGCTGGAAAAACTTATCGTGATTGGAAGGTGCTGGAAGGTATTGAGCCCTATGTGAAGGTATTGCCTGCTCTTATGAAAGTGTTGGGAATTTCGAAAAAAGACCCCAATTACAACGAATCTGAATGCAAGCAAATGAAGGTGACCATTGATAGTACTCTGCCTCAGTAGACGAATGGGTAAGTATGAGACCAACTACAGCAGTATAACTTGTAAATTAATTAATTCATAACATACTATATTGTGTTCTTTTACAGTCATGACTGCGGGGTGTTCGTGATATTGTATGCATTGTATATCCTCCGTGATGGCAGATGTGCTATTCCCCATAAGTTCGATGCTGCAAAATGTAGAATTGATATTGCCTCACTACTTTACAAATACCGAGAACCTTACGTGAAGAAGGCAAGGCAGACTTTTAAAGGGGAGGGGATTGTAATAGAATGACAAATATAAAAATATTTGTAAATGAGTTTTATGCTTCAGTTGGTAGCCTTTTATATTTCTTTCAAGCAGTGGAGGTGTGTGTACTCAATACTGTCATGTGGATGTGAATATACTTTTGCAATACATGGGTGCCCCAACCTTCATTTGTTAATATGTTGTTGCTTGGATACACAGTTGTGCTTTTGGTATAAGATTTGTTTTGCAATGCCGTGTGTAAATAACAGTTCACATATCAACAGTACCAGGTCACAGATTTAATATTCCATTTGGTGGGAGATACTTTGACATGACATATGTCAATAATAGGTCACATATGATATGCATGGCAGGTCACGGATTTAGCACTCATAATATATGATGCAAAGATTAGGTCACAGGTCGAATTGTACATCGGAAATTAGGTCACAGTACCAAGTCACAGATTTAGTATTGCTTTTGGTCGGAGTTTCAATTTATCATGACATATGTTAATAACAAGTCACTTAGTATATGCGTAGCAGATCACGGATCTAGCACTCTTAACATTTCATGCCAAGATCATGTGGTTTCGATTTTTGTCACAGTTTTAGTCTATCATGCCATTTGTAAATAATAGGTCATGTACCTGGCCAATGATTTGATTGTGCTTTTGGTCACAGTTTTAGTTTGCCATGACATATGTCAAGAATAGGTCACATAACAATTACAATAGCATGCCAAGAGTTGGACACAGTTCATCTTATTTATGGAATCTGTGACCTCGACATATATTTGTTCTCCACCACATTTAGGTCACATTTCATGCCTTTACGTGAATTAATGGTCACAATTCAAATATATTGCTGTGTATGGAATCTATAATCATAAATTTACACAACTCTACATTAAACTGAATAAAAAGTGCAGATATACTTCATTTAGCATTTATTACCTTACTATTTAAACACCATTTGTTAATTGATCAATTGAAACACATGTCTACATGTCGGTATGCTAATAAGAATTCAAGAATGTGACCTAACTTTGATAAGTCTTTATCATGTATTGACTTCCGATCAACCGTTCTTACTTAATGGGACCAAACTTGAGCATCTCCTACGGTTGTGACCATGTGCACCACAACGTCCACATCTTACTTTTGGTTTCCCTTCCCTAGATGATCTCTTCCTCTTCTCAATAGGTCTTCCAGAACTCCGCTTCTGGTTAGGAGCTAAAATAATTTGGAATTCTACTTCATCGAGCACTCTCCATTCTTCTGGATTTCCAACAGAATAGACCGAACTTTCATAAGCATTTACATAAGCATCCTTTGTGTAATAATAGAAACAGTAAGAATATGCATCCCTTTTCGTATGTACGATTACAGCCAATGCATGTGGATAAGGCATCAGATCGACCTGCAACATCATGCAAGTGCATGTACGTTACTCAATGTCAACAACAAATGTGGACCTTTCATCGCTCACGGAGAACACTGTTTGGTTGGAAGGAGATACCTGTGAGAGTGTAGTAGCACCAATGTTATGTGTCAGTTTAAACTCAAAAAAGAATAGGTGACAGACATTCATATTTCAGTGCACAATGGTATGTTCAAGTCACAAGACTTCATACTCAGGTCACAGGTTTAGCATTAGTATACAAATTATATATCACCACAAACAAAGTACATAGCGTCACATACGTAAATTAGTGGCCACATGCAATTAATATTTGGACACATAAGCACATACGTACATTCCATGTCACAGACACCTATGATATAATCACATGCATATTTCTGTTTAGTCCACATACACAAACTTCAGGATACATAAGAAAGTTACCCTCAAGTTCCTTAAATCTGAACTCATTCTCCTCATGACGTTCTCGAACTTGCTAGTCAACATCGTGAAATTTCCATGCGCTTCGTCTCTATGTTTACAGAACCAATTTTGCACTGTTTGTCGCAATGACTCCAGCAAGAATACAATGGGGTAATCCTTAGCTACCTTTGTGACTGCGTTTACTGATTCTACAATGTTTGATGTCATTGTAGAGTATCTGTTTGCCGGCATATGTATTCGTGACCACTTTTCAGGGCCTACTTCAACCTGCCAAAATATATCGTAGTATGAGAATAGTATAAAAGGATATATGTGACCACTTTACTGCATGTGATAATGGAGTGCTGTAGTCAGTACAGTACTAGGTAATCATGAATCTTATCATTCATTGCATTCAGTTGTTGCATGTTGTATTCAAATTCTTCTAATGTGTAAGCGCATACAGTAGAATTGAAAGCCTGCGTAATATTTTGCCTTGATTTCCAATAATATAATTTCAAATTCTGCAACAAATGGTACGAGCAGATACCATGGCAACTTTCCGGATACACCTATTATATTGCTTTCTTTATACTGCCATGACGATCCGATACAAAACACAATCCTTCTCTGTACCCATATGCATTATTCAATTTCTCCAAAAACCATCTTCAAGATTTGTCGTTCTCATTATTCCTTACTCCAAAAGCAAGAAAAAATATGTCATTATTTGCATCGTGTGTACATGCTGTGAATAGGGTACCTCCGTAATGACCATTCAAATAAGTATCGTCAACGACAATTACGGGCCTACAATGTTGTCACCCCTGTATTGATGCACCGAGTGCCATAAAATAGTACTTGAACCTATTGTGACTATCGAACTCCAACTCTGTGACTGTACCAGGATTTCTTTGTCGAACCATGTAGAAGAAGCTTGATATCCTACCGAATGATTCCGTCGGATCACCCCTAATCATCTTCAATGTTTGTTCACGGGATCTCCAAGCTTTTGAGTAATTCAAATATACTCCAAGAGTATGTAGCATATCACTGCATATGTCCTTTGGTGTGTATATGATGCGAGCCGATGTGTACTTGTACTTGATGCTAGATGACACAACTGCAGCTGATACTTGTTTGTGTGACGCCAACCATTTGATGCACATGTGTGACTACCAATCTTTTGAATCTTAAATAGATTCGTTTTACCCCATTTTGACGATCGGCATATTCAAGTACATCCTTCCTGAGAACACCTCACTACATATTCTTTCTTGTCGGATCATTCAACCATAAACTTAAACATGTTTCGTATGGCAAAAAATGATAGGCTCAATTTTAAAATATCCTTATCACGGAAAATCCTTCCTTCTTCGACTTGAATAGCATCTGCTATAGAAATAATCGTGACTTCATTGTCACAAATGTGACCTACATGTTTACTTGATGCTTCGCAGATTTATGTGGCCACATCCTGCAACATATAAAGCTCACTGTTACGATAAGCATTATCTGTGACCATGTCAGACGGGTATTCTATTGCTGCATCAATTATGTCAATGATTAATGGGTATTTAGCTGGATCACGATCGACTTCTTTCAGCAGAATGCATGCAAGCACATTGCTGTCATTTTTTATCGTGATTGCAGGCAAATCGTCGTTGAGTATAAACTTCAATGATACTGCTACCTTGGTCGGATCCAAGCTTAACTCTAACATAATCATGTTTACAAGGTTTATATAACTGCATCCACGGTCTACCAACACCAACGCTGACCGAGATCCATGCAACAAACATACGTGCAAGTACACCATTTCTGCAAAATTGAACTTCAAATCCTCACCATTTGAATATATATTTTTTATACCTCAATTGTGAAATGGCGTTAAGTATACACCTTAGATATGAATTTTTTCCGAAAGAAAAACAATTTTTTAAGAGTAGTTTTTTTAAGAATGTGTGGTTAAAAAATAAAATAAATATTTTGAATTTACGTGCAAATGTTGAAAATGAGTTTGAGAAAAAATGAGTTTTAAAATAATCAAACTTGAGAAACTTATATTGATTTTTAATTTGGCAAGAGATACAAATTGCAATTTTCTTCGTTTTCCAAATCGTACTATCTTAGGCCCCGTTTGGAAGTAATTTTGAGAATTGATTTTTGACCGTTAGGAGAAAAGTGGGGGCCATCTGTGAGAAAATAAGTCAAACTTTACGGCGGAAATAATTAAATAACGATCAAAAAATCAATTTTTTTTGTGAAAAATCAGTCCTAAACATTCTCTAAATCTTCTTACAAAATATGACATCAGAATTTTGGGACACTTTCAGCCCTATATTCATAGAAAAGAATCAAGGATGCAAGGATTGCAGGTGTACAATTGTCATTTATTAATAAACTTACCATTTAAATACTCATCTTTGAATGACACATTACAAAATATCTAAGTCAATAAAACTTTGTTTGATAAAAATTCAACAGGATAAAAAATCAAACGAATGAAAAAGTATACGGGTACTTTTTGAGTATTAAAAATAAATGTTACATTATTAAAATCTTGCTAGAAAAATTCAGTGCGATAAAACTTAAAGGAAAAAGAGTACAGCTACTCACCCTAATATAGATTATTGAAAATCTTTAAATCGAAGCATTCCAATCTCATGAACCAATTTCTTGAATGTAGATGTCGATAATGTTTTTGTGAATAAATCGACTATATTGTCACTTGAGCGAATTTATTGGACATCAATGTCGCAATTCTTTTGAAGCTCGTGTGGTTGAAATTTTTTTAGAGAAATATGCTTCATCATGTCACCTTTGATATAGTCTCCTTTGAGTTGTGCAATACAAGCTACATTGTCTTTATACAAGATTGTTAAACTAACTTTTATTGAAGTTAACCTGCATGATGTTTGGATATGATGGGTGATGTTCATCAATCATACACATTATTTGGCTACTTCATGGATTGCAATAATTTCATAATGCTTAGAAGATGTTGCTGTCAAAAATTGTTTCACAGATTTTCATGATATTGCTGTTCCTCCACCTGTAAATATATATCTTGCTTGTGATTTAGTTTTATGTGGGTTAGAGAGATAATTTGCATCTGTATATCCCACTAAACTAGATCCCAACTTTTTAGACTATAATAATCACAAATAAATAGTGCCCTTTAGGTGACAAAAAATATTTTAACACCATTCCAATATGTTTGAGTTGGTGTGGAGTTATATCTTGTTAGGAGATTTACAAAAAAGTTATGTCGGGTCGAGTGTAGTTTACAAGATAAATTAATACTCCAATTCTATTAAGGTATGGCACTTCAAGACCAAGAATCTTTTCTCCATCTTCAAATGGACGAAATGGTTCCTTTTTCACATCAAATGATTGAACATCCATAAGTGATGTCAATGGTTTGAACTATTCTTATAAAAACGTATTAAAACTTTTTCTCTATATATAGATTGATGAACAAAAGTAATCTTTCTGGGAAGTTTTCAAGTCGTAACCCAAGACAAAAATTGATTTTTCCCAAATCTTTCATCTTAAATTTATTTTTTAAATAATCTGCAGTTTATTTAGCTCTTCAAGAGTTCTATTTAAATACAATATTTGTTTCTTTATGAAAACACATTGGCAAGTATCGTCATTTTTATAACCCTTTTCAAGAAATATTTGCTAAGACGATTATACCACATGTATCCTGATTGTTTCAATTCATACAATGATCTTTGTAGTTTAATTGAGAACATAGTTCTCAGGTATGTATCATTTTTTTCCTGATACTTTAAGTCCTTCAGAGACTTTCATACATATGTCACTATCGAGTAAACCATACAAATAAGCAATTACTAAATCCATAAGCTCATATCGAGCTTTTGTGATACAGTCAAACTAATTAAGAATCTAAAAGTGATGATATCTTTTACAAGAGAACATGTTTCCTCATAATCAATTATTGGTCTTTGTGAGAAATCTTCAGTTACGAGTCGGACTTTGTATTTTGTAATTTTATTATTATCATTTCTCTTTCATACAAAAATCCACTGTATCAAACAGGGATTACATTTTCACGCGTTCGAACTACAAATCCAAATACTTTATGTTTCTCTAATAAATTCAATTCTACCTGTATTGTTTCTTACCATTTTGGCCAATTATTTTTTATATTAATTAATAGTCTTTAACTGGCTATGATTCAAGATCCTCATTTTGTATAATATCAAGAGCTACGTTAAAGGTGAAAATATTGTTTATAACAAAATTATTTCATTCCCATAATTTGAGAGGAAGCATAACTGATTACTCAAGTTCGAGAATCGGGATCTCCAGATCCAGGAGAGCTAGATATGGATAAGGGGGCATGAAATACATAGGGTGAGCTACAACAATGGTTAAAGAGCCTAACATAGCTGAGAGAATGAGAGGTTAGCTATACAATAGGTGATGTTATTTCTTTAGTAGATAAGAGTGATGATGCTATTCCTAATAGTAGTCTATGTGCTATTATTATCAACCATGCTCTTAGTCAAATTGCTACGGTTGTGTCTTGTGTCTAGATGACTTGGAATTACTATGTCGCGATACGTTGAGTCGAGGCTTTGAAATTCTTGAGTTAACTCCAAGTGAGGCCTCTCCTCCTTGTCCAGCAGATCTGATGGTGTAAGATAACATCTAATTTATTAAAATCTCATTATTTTCGAACACTCGTGGTTCTTTAGGGACCATATTTTAATATTTAATTGATCAATTTTTTTAGTGCTTACTTATTCCGAAGTTTTTGGTTTGTTTTTCTTGTATTTTTCTTTTTCGATGTATAGAGTCTTTTGAACCACTTGATCAACCACGCTTTTGACTTATTTGAGATTCATTTGTTACAGTAGATTATCCTTTAGGGACATCAATATTTGCTAAAATATTATCTACTGAAATATAAGACTTTCTCACTTCTATTGTGTCTACAAATATATTAGGTAATTGATTTGTAACTCTTTGCAAATGAATAATTTTTTCAACTTCTTGCTTATATTGATTGTTGCGAGAATCAAAGTGAGATAGAGTCGTTTCATTCTAATAAATTTTACATGATTTTTCAGGATGTAGTTTTTCCCCTCTCAAAGTTGGAAAATCATTTCATCAAAATGACAATTTGCAAAATGTGTCGTAAATAAATCACCCGTTAAAAATTCAAAATACCTAATAATAGATAGTGAATCAAAACCCACATAGATCATAAGTCTTCGTTGGAGACCCATTTTAGAACATTGTGGAGGTGGAATATGGGTTTGGACAGTACAACAAAAAATCCGTAGGTGAATATTGATAATAGGCAGTTTGTATAACACGAACGAATCATGCAATATATAATATGGTATGATCTCAAATAGAAGTTTTCATAAATAATGATCTAACAATAAATTGTAGACGTTTAATAAATGATTCTATTAAACCATTTTGTGTATGGACATGAGCAACCGAATGTTCAATAATAATCTCAATTGACATACAATAGTCATCAAATGCTTGTGATTTAAAATTCGTCAGCATTGTCAAGACGAATAGTCTTAATTGAGTAATCAAGGAATTGCGCTCGTAATTTTATGATCTGAGCAAGAAGTCTAGCAAATGCTACATTCCTAATGAAAAGTAGATAGATATGTGATCATCTAACTAAAGAATCAATCAATTAATACCATAAGAATCAATCAATCCACGTGGTGGGTATATTGGCCCACGTATATATCTATGAGTTCTTTTCAAGAAAATTGAAGATTCAATATTGACCTTTGTAGTCGAAGGTTTAATGACTAACTTACTTTGCGAACAAACTACACATGGATAATCATTAGGTAAAAGAATCTTCTGGTTCTTTAAAAGACATTCATGTGAGTTGTTTGTTATTTGACGCATCATTATTGCTCTTATCCAAGTCGATTATGTCAGAGTATGAAATTTTTTGGATCATGACAATATTTGATTCAATCATTTTTATGAATGTATAATATATGCCAGATGAGAGTTAATAAAATTTTTCTTTTATCTCCTTTTGACCAGATATGAAAAAAATTATTCAAAGATATTCAACATTGTTTTTTTGCATCGTTTCATTGTGATATCCATTGCAACGGATATCTTTAAAACTAAACCAATTTTTTCTGAATTTGCTAAAATGAAGTGCAAAGTCAATATATAATTTTGTATTATTTGATAAAAATAATATAAGTTCTTTCAGAGCATTTAATGATATTCGATGCACCTGATATCGTATTAACATTATTTTCTACTAATGTTAAGTCTAAAAAAATATTTTTTATATTGAAGAATATTATATGTACTTTCACTATTAATCAAACCCGTGTTTTGACAATCCATCATAAATATATTTTTAAAAATAGTTAAATTTAAATTTAAAAAGGTAAACATAATTCAACACTGTAAAATTAATGATGCATAATAAAGTTAAATTTATTTATTTTTATTTTTTTTTGTGAAAAGTAAAAATATAATTCAAGTTAAATTTTTAAAATAAAGAGAAATACTATGAATATAGAAAATAAGCTAATCTATATCTTCCATCATACCACCCCCAATCAATATCCCCATTTGTATTAACAAATAAATCGAAAACATCCAAATGAGTCACATCATTGAAACCATCATAATCAGCAAAATTTATTTCTACTTTCCACTTTCCATTGATTATTTTTTGTAAAGATCCACAAAATGTTTTACTGTACGATAGATACATGCCCAATATACTTTCATTCCATATCTAAAGTCGTGATCCTTTTTGGATGTGTTACTTTCGTTTGTTTTATACCTTTTGAAGCCTTGTTGTAGATAATTTTGTTGATTATTTCATCCATAGTTTATTTCACGTGCACGCTTCCGCATCCATATTCACGTCCACATTCTTGTCTTGATATTACATTTGCTTCAGGTAATGCAACACCATTTGCCTAAGACAATAATACAGAACCAATTGGACGTAATCCATAATTTTTCATCAATAGTTCATTATTTTGTTTAGCTACAAGCATGCAAAATATAAGTTTTAAGAATCTTTTGAAACCACGCTCACGATATTGCTGTTGCAAGAGCGCATTCGAGGCGTAAAAGGTGGAAACAAAATTTTTCCGACATATCTTCATTAGTGATTTTTTCTCTACGCAATGTCAATTCTAAATATATTCAAAACAGTTTAGAATTGTACTTACTAACAGTTTTGAAATCTTGCAAATGAAGGTACATCCAATTATAGCAGGCTTTGGGGAAGACTATAACTTTTCGATAATCAAATCTTTCAGTTAATTTTTTCAAAGAACTAGTGAATCTTGCTTAGTGAGATATTCAATTTTCAATTCATCGTAAATATGATGATGAATGAAGATGTGTGCTTTTGCATCATCCTGTAAGAATTATTTGTTTTCTTCTTTTCTTGTCTATCCCAAACCTTTTGAAATAAGATGTATATTAGCATCGAGTCCCCATGATAAATAATTTTGCCAGATATGTCAAGTGCAGTAAACTTAAATTTTGTGATATTTGCCATTTGATTAACTACACAATAAAACAAAAGAAAATACAAATAGCTTCGAAAAATATCATTAAACATCAATAATAGTTAATCAAGTAGTCAACACGACATAAGTCACGTGTTTTCCTTCAAGGATAAAAACTAGTTTAAAATAATATGTTTTTCGAAATATGTGATATTTCGGGAACACATTATATTTTATTATTGATTATTCAATAGCAATATGTCAATATTTTTCTGAAATATTAAAAAAATATAATTCATGCTTTTTAAGAGTAAATAGTATTTTTCTATAATATTAAAAAATACAGTTCATGCTCTTATGGAGCAAGTAATATTCTTAAAAAATATTAATTATAATATTGTACTATTTTAGGAGTGGCAACAACATACACTTTATAGTTATACAAAAATAAAAAAATTACTAGTGAAGTTAAGGATAAAAAGAGCATTCAGAAAGCATGTATGAAAGAACCATGATTTAAAGCATAATTAAATATCACAACTACAGTCGAAATTTATTACATAACTTAAAGCATGATTAATTATGTTCGAAGTAACAAATTAAAGCATGATTTAAAACTGTATTATTGAGTAAATTTATTTTGAGCAATAATTAATGTGTTGAACCAAATAATCAATGAACAATTGAGCAAAACATAAACCACCACACACATATTTGCGCGATTAATAAGCAACCAATTATAATATGTCTCACTGTAGAAACATGAGAAACAAGTAATTAATGGAGATGAGTATGTGCTTGTACTACAAAAACCAAAAAGAAATTCATTTAGATATCAAGAAAATTACAAAAGCCATATAAAATACATTACATAGAAATTGAAAATGCACATATTTGACATTATCATGCATACGTGAAAAAAATTAAACGTTACCAATTTAATTTCGATACACTTAACACGTGATTATGCTTTAAAAAATTAACACATTCACTAAACTTTAAAAAATTAAACTTTCGTGCAGATAATGTATTATGAAAACAGAGAAAAATAGAATAGAGGATAAAAGTCAATAGATTTGTGCGACTTATTTCAGAACCAAAATCCTATATTTATATGGAAGAATTAGAAATACAACGACAAGGGTTACAAGGATACAATTGTTATTCACTAATAAACTTATCATTTACAACAGTTTCCTTTTAATTGACAAAAATGCTATTGTCTTCTATTTCGTATTTCCTTTATTATGCATCAAAAAATGCTCCTTTATTATCAAAGAAAGTATTGACTATTGAAGCATTTTGTTCACAAGTCCTTAATGCTCCAAGAATTTAAGACAGTCCCAAGAGTGCTTACCCAGAAAATTGCTGAACTTTGGCATTTCTTTATATAAACCTAACTGAAAAATGTAGAATTTTTTTTACATATATATAAATGAGAATTCATGATGGTTCAAATTATGCAATAGGAAAAAACAATGGGTTTAGCAAAGTGTGTACAAGGGGGGTTCTTGGTTTTTCTCTGTTTGACCATTTGCTCTGCTAGTAGACTCCTTTTGGACTCTGCAGACTTCAAGGAAGCAAAAAATGGACAATCCCATGTGGCAAGTGCAACTACGGTCGGCGACGGCAGTGGTAGCTTGGGAGTAAGTCTCAACATGGCCCACGTGGTCCATAGCGAGCCCATAAAGAAAATTGGTGAAGCCAACATGGTCCACGGTGAGCCCATTATTAATCCATTCTCCTTTTATGCGACCCTCAAGAAAGAGAGTCGAAAAGCCCACGTGGTCCATAGCGAGCCCATAAAGAAAATTGGTGAGGCCAACATGGCCCAGAGCGAGCCCATTAATCCATTCTCCTTTGATGTCAACCTCGTGAAAACAAAAGTTGGTAATGCCCACGTGGTTCATAGCGAGCCTATAAAAAAAGTTGGTGAAGCCAACGTGGCCCATAGCGAGCCCATTATTAATCCATTCTCCTTTGAATTCACCCTCAAGGAAAAGCAAGATGGTGAAGGTGAAGCCAGGTCAACAAACCAGAGGGCAGTAAGTGAACCCGAACCACTGGTAAACGAAGTGCACAAGATCGAAGATGGACTTCTCTTGCAAGAAGCAGCACCACCGCTTGATTAGCTGCACGGTACAGAAAATGGTTTCATGCAAGCTGCGATAACACCACCAATTTAAAGTTCCCGGGATAGAACATGAGAGGTTTCTCGTAAGCCACATAAACAAGTGCACAAAATATAAGATGGTCTTGTGTAAGCTATATAAAGATAATGATTGCACCCCAGTCTATTGACATTACTATGTGATATGTAACATTTTTACTTGAAATAAGCAAAAGCCAAAAAATTAGTCTACCCATGATTTGTGCGACTTTTGTCGTGATAACACCAAAAATTTTAACGTTAGAAAATGGGACAGTTCCCAAATACACTGCAGTCATCTTCAAGAACCCAAACATAATTCACACGATGTGCATAACCAGAAAGAGAAATAGTTATGTTAAATATTGACTTAACGTTTTTTCTTCACCAGTTCATCAAATGGAATGATTATTTCTCGAACATTGCTTAGGTCCAGTTCAACTTGATCTCGCGACAAGGTTTATAACAAAGACAAGCTATAGTTCTGTCATTTTCGTAAGCAGGCAGCAAAAGCGTACTGTAATGTAAAATAGCACAGTAACTCACCGGTAACAAGAAATAATCTGAAATTCAAATTATACCAATCATTTAGATTCAGTACAGCATATCATATCTTCAGTTGACAGTTCATGAACTTTTTTGGTTTAATCCTTCTTATTCACTTAGAAACATAAATTAGTCAAAAGAAACCCAAGTATTGGCATTAAAAATTTTCCTATTCGAAGTAATACTCGTCCACTGGAAGCAAATGTGAAGTAGATGAACCATATGACCAAAAATTTAGCGGAGGAAATCCTACATGAGTCACCTCTCACACAAGAAGTTCATCCATGCAATTGCTGCTAAGCATCGGCAATTAGCTTCTCTCTTTCTCTCGTGGTCCACTAAAGTAGCACCAATAAATATCATTCCTTCCACATATCCGCAAATTCATCAACCTCCAAGGGATTTGCCATCTCATGCATCTTCCTCCTTGCCTTGGCTTTAACTTTCTTTGCATATTTTCCAGCCTTCTGCTTTTTCTCTAATGATCGAATCTGTAAGCACATGTAAGAAAAAAACATCAAGAGGTGAATGGCAAACCTCATGCATTGAGAAATGCCTTCACACACCAGCTGATTGTTTATGTATAGCATCAAAATTATTCATTAATAGCCTTCAAAAAAAGTTAACTGTGCTAGAACATAAAGTACTAGAATACAAAAATTAATGCTAGAAGAGCTCACCTGGTTTGGTGAAACATAAAATGGATTCTCATATAATGTTGGACCTCCAAAACTGCCACCAAATATCTTGATTGGGTTCAAACAAAACCTTGGACCAACCTATCCATATGAGTTAGAGGGATTTAGTTTAGATAACATATGTGTATCCCATCATTCAGTAAGGGATTCAAAACAAACCTCAACTAGTGTCATCTTTTCCAAGTCCCCGTGGTCTATTTTTTGTCCTCCACTATGAGGACAAGATATCTTCATCAAAAGCAAAGACATTGAAATGAGTTTTGAGAAATATGAAACTAATTCTATTAATAATTCGAACTAAGAAAAATGCTAAAGCACTCTTGCAGCTGGTTCAGCAAACCTAAAACATATATATATTTTGTAACTCACACAATTGCATTTTTTCTTTGTTTCATGGGATGAGGGAGAGGAGTAAGGGGTTTGAGAAATAGACTCTTCTTTTACAACTTCTGACCACAGAATGTTAATTATCTATAAACTTTAAGTTCATAAGAACTCACAACACTAGCACACGCTAATGCAATTTTTTGAGCATAAATTACAGCAACAATGACTTCCTCAGAGAGATAGAGGAGAAAAATAGACAGAAAGATGAAATCTTAACATAGACAAATTAAGTACATGTATCTTCCAGGGTAAAAGATAAGGAAAAAAAATAAAAATCAAAAGTATAGTATTAACAGATACAAGGAAACTGCACGCGCATTGGCACTCATTGCTACTAAAGAGAACAAAATGGGAAGACCCACTTAGCAAATTTGATAAGAGGCATGTTACTGATTTAGAATATTGCTGGTTCTCAGTTCGTCAAGTTACAAACTAAGAAAATTCTGATGAGCAAACCAATGCAACAACTGAACCAATTCCCATGAAGGGGTTGGTGAAATATATTAGAGTATATTATACAGTATACAGTACAAAAAATTAAACTAATTGTAATCATAACTTGAAGTCACAGAGAATGCATGCTCAACAAGGTGTGGACATGCCGTCAACGTCCCTAGTGATAATTCATGATTCCAATGGCAAAAGAAACGCAGAAACATATTTTGCATACCGGTCACTCTTCAGAGGGATCATGGCATCAATACGCAATACTTTATGGACAAGCATGTGCATGTACAAAATCAATTATGCACATGCTTCTGCTGCACATTAAAATTTCTTATAATGTACCAACTATATCTGTGTGTAGGAGCATTGAATTACACAAGCATAGTGATGGCAACGGGGCGGGGCGAGGGCCGCCTCTCCCACCCCATACCCCTCCCTGCCTTTGACAGGGTGGGGCAGGGTAGTTTTCTTGCCCCGTTTAAATTTATTTATTTATTTATTATTATTATTTATATATATATATATTTCGAGTTCAATAAAATACGGATAACATTCAAGTTAAACTTTTAATAAAGAATACCCTTACTTTATGTAAATTTAAGTTTTTGTTTTGGGATAAAATTATTTATAGTGTAAAATGATTTTTAGAGAATGTGTGGATAAAAAGTATGAAAAAATTATAGGTCTACATGTAAATTATGTTATTAAAAAAATTGTGATAGAAAATAAATTTAAATAAAAAAGATTTTGAAATATGTTGCATAGATGAACTCTAAATATGTTATAATAGTTATAATTAAGTATGTAAACAAATAATTAACAAACAATTAGCTAATTAGTAACAAAATTATGATAAATTAAGGGTTGGATGAACAAATAATTAGAAATTTTCTATCTTCATATTTCCAAGTATTAAAAAAAAAAAAAATCACGGGGCGGGTTCGCCCCGCCCCGCGACGGGACGACCATCTATGGCCCGCCCCGTGCCTCGCAACGGGACGAGTTTTTTTGCCCCATTCGGGGCTGGGTAAATTGCCATCACTACACAAGCATAAAACTAATCCTCTAATCAACAATGGATTATTAAAGAAATCAGAATCAGTGTGCAAATCATCACCAACCTGATAATTCCTGAACCATACGTGGTCATCAGCGATTGAAAAAACAAATACATGATCATGGTAAGGTTTAGATTTCCTGTGGTCCTTCGGAGTGCCAAATATCTGAAGAGGGAAAGAACGCTGAAGTTTAGAAGATAGTTCAGCTATGACAAAATGAACCTTTAAGCACCAGGTAAACATATTGAGCACTCAATGTTATAGAGTAAGCAACCAATTGAAATATACAGTATATCATCAAACTTCAGACACAACTTTAATAGAGACGTATGACATATCCATCAATCACACTGATTAAGCTGGTCATATAGACATATTACATATGTATGACGACATCAGGAATATATGAACAAAAAAATTTCTTGATCTGTATCATAACCCGATTTATTTGAGTAGCAGATCCAACACTTTAGAGATTTTACAACATGTGGGAACTAAATTCTTAACTCTTTTTCAATAGAGGATTAAAATGAGTTTTCATGTATCAGATTTTCCAGAATAACTATCTCAATTTATGCATAGAAATCAAGCATACCATCCATTTAGATAACAATTTTATAATAATATATGAAACGAATTTTAAAAAAAAGATAGTACCATGAACAATTCTAGTGACAATTATCTAGTTATATTCCTCAAAGTCTAATCCATGCAAAAACATTCCAGCATATTACTGAAAAGCTAATATGAGCAACATAAAGTGCTTCATAGGAGTAGTCAGCTGCAAAGCATCGTGCTTTGAATAGTGGGAGGTCATACCTGTGTGATCATTTCCTTTAACAACTGCCAGTGGGGTTTCTTATCAAAATTGGATGAAAAGGTCAAAATAGGACGGGAACCCTTAAGATGATTTCCAGTAAGCTTCAATTCCTCCATCGTGTGCACTAAGAACATCGAAATAATATTTTCCATAATTAAGATATATTCTACATAGAAAAGAACCTGTGGGAGGGTGTTGATAAATCAGGAGCTATAAAAAGTGGGATACATTAGGGAACTACATAGCAATGACATGAATTATCCTTAAAATCTGATACCTGCATTGACTAAAAGCTTGACAGATGGCCCGTTGGGGCACTTGGCCATCCATAAATAGAGGTCTTTACCTTTCCTACACTGAAATGAAAATGAGAAACTGCATGAGACCGTGACAAGCAAGATATGGCTAACTTGAACTTTATCATATTTCTATGTCGTCAATGACTCATAATCACCAAACACGTTTGGAAATCGGTAAATTAAAATTGGTATAATTATGGCACGAGCCAAACCCAATAGAAAATTGAAATTTAAAAATTTCACGATAACATTCGAAGAAGGGAATCAAACTGAGGCATAAAATTACAAAGTTACCTCAAAAAACAAACAAGAAGAGCAGCTCTTGAGCTCCACTAGCTCATTCAAAGTAGCACCTTTGCTTTCTTTGGACTCAACCTTGTTATCTTTCTTACAGTGTGGTAAAAGATCTACCAAGTTCAACATCAAATGCCTATACCTATATTGACAACCACCGCCAAAGAAAAAAATCAGAATCATTAACATTAATTAGGCAATAAAATTCCCAAAGCTGGAATAAAATTTGTTAGTTTGTGCACAAATTCAGAACACAAGAAAAATCGAACCTGAAGCTAATGCGTCGGGAACAAGTGACCAAAACTTTCTCTTTGTTTCTAAAACACACAGAATCATTTTGGCTCTTATCATCATCCCCATTGTTTTTCCATCCCAAAAGTGTTCTTTTGGGCCTTTCTTCCGCAGTTTCATCTTTCTTTACATTGGCTACAGCCTCAGTTTCACTGTGTTTTCGCTTCTTTCCCATTTGAAATCTCTAGAATAAAAAATTATAAGAAAATTTTAGTTCAAAACCACAGAACCTCCGAGAGGTAAGCCTGTCTTTTTGTATATAACAGATAACTGTTGCAGAATGGGGGAGAAAGGATAAAACCGTACGCTCAAACCCTAGACCATAAATAAATGGGTTTTGACATTCTGGGCCTAGGCCATGTCGAACAGGGCAAGCTACGGACCCGTCCCTTTTGAAACGAATAATGCTCCAATTTAGATGACGCTAGATGATAGATTAAATGAAAAGTAAAATTAAGTGATTTATTTAATTTCATCGATCATTTAATGACACATTAATGCCACTTCGACTCGGGTTGTAATGCCAATGAGGTTAAATACCATTACTCTTTTGGAACTATCAACATATGCAATTAGGGGTAAAAGTGGGACGAGCGACTTGTCTTATTAAATAAAAATATAATTTTAGTAAAATGTTATGGCTTGTCCCATCAATGGATGAGCTCATGGAACGAGTTGAGTTAGATTTTGGCTGAGCGATCCAAGTCGAACCCACGATGGATGAGTTACATTGTACACGATCTAACGAGATACATTCATCCAACAAATTTTGTTTAAATATGCACATTAATATCCTCTCGTGATTTAGATGCATCACCATTATCGTTACAGCATTACCACCTATTGTTGATAGGATGAAGTGGAAGTTTTATTCTAAATATTCAATCAGCATACTTTGAAATGAGAGACAAATATTATCTCGCACTTTTGTATATATTATTTTTGCTAATTTAAAAATATAAGTGCAAAGGAGTTCTTTTACCCATATTCACATTTTTTTTAAAGTGAAATTATCTCGTCGAGGACAAAATGTGCTAATTAATAAGTTGGAGTTTGTATTAATAGATTGAGCAAGTTTACTAAAGATTCTTATCCAAATTTGACAAGTCAAATATTTTTAAACCTATTAGAAAAATGGCTTCTTTAAGCTTAGGTACAATTTGAAAGATCAAAGTTGATTCGTGGGTTGCAGATTTATAGTATTCTCAACACATAATATATTTTTGCAATTTTCATTCTCTGTTTGTTTATATTCTTGTTGAAATTAAAAAAAATTATATTATTATAACAAAAACTACAAGCTTCTCAATCAAAAATCAGGCCTCATGGAGCTGGATTATCATCTTCTTTGGCAAAAGATTAGTTGGAATGATGAATTTTAAGCCAAACCAAAGAGTTCCCCCTTATTTTAAGCCTTTAGACGATGGCTAGAGTTGTACAACCACCGCGAATGACTTTCTTGGACCGAATTCTCTCGGCAATTCAATCAGTCCATCCGTGAAAAGAATCAGAGGATGAAATATGTACCTTGCTCTTCAGTTTTTGCAAGCGAAACTCCAGAGGCTCGAATCCTTAACAGATGCGCCAGTTTTTACCTGCAAAAGAACATGGGAAAACTAACCACCTTTTGATTGGAGAATGGTCAAGGAAGCAGAGAAGCAATCTTTAGAGCCATGATAAACTCGTGACAAAATTGAAGGCAGTCTTCAATATGATAATTCTATGGTCTCTGCCTGTGCATGGATTCAAGCTCTTGTTGTCTATTGAGATAAGTTCTTGTGTTGATTTACCTGACGCGGTTATTACACAAGACTAGCTGTATATTATTGTTATACGTATTAAAGAAAGAAAAATATTTCAATCACAAAATCTTGTTACAGAGGAAAGTACACAGTTGATCATGAAGTTGAAATGCCTGCCTACTACAGAAACTACCACTTCACCACCAATTCCATGCCCAATTTTATTTATACACTGCCAGGATAAAATAAATGAATTGATAAAGAATTTTGTTTAGATTATCATGCTCGTAACTCTACAATTGCCGATTACAGAAATTAAATCGGTTTCTTAACATCTCCTTCACTTTTCCTTTCTTTTTTTTTCGACCTTCTCAATTCTGATAAATCTACTTTTTCTCAAGGCCAAGTCAGGAAGGCTCCTCAACTGAGGCCCAAATCCAACCGGCACTAAGTACAAGAAACAAAGAAAAGTCGCTTAGATTACACATATCCTCACCGGATATCTGTACAGATTTCATCAAATTCGGATTGGCAATCCAAAATTCTGGAAAGTTCTGACTTCCCCCCCAAGGCCTGCAGTTACAATGACCATACCCCAGGCTGATCTGTTTTGGATAAGCCCATTGGAGAAGTCAACACTAACACGAGGACTGCGGTTCTTACAAGCAGAAAGAAGCTTTTCTTCTGGCCATGTTACTATTCCATCAAAGAGGCAGTTGTTTGTAGCATTAGAAATAATCCCGTTAAGTGGACTACCACTGCCCCGAGATCCCAAAGGAGAGCTCTCGTTAATATTAGTCTCCTCTTCAACTGGTGTGGGCGGATGGTTGTCTGTTGAAACCTCATCGAAATAACCATTTTGCCCTCCAGAACAAGTATCTTGAAATCCCCATGTGTCAGCAATACCAGGCCAAGGGATTGCCACCGATACATCTTGACAGTGAAAATGCTCGTAAGACTGGATCACAGTTACACCTTTGTTTCCATTTGGTCGTGATTCACCTTCATGCTTCCAGATGTAAACAGAAGAATCATCGCTGGCACTTATTACATATCTTCCATTTGCCGTAATGGAGGCTGAGATTTGGCTGTTTGTGTTATGAAACCCTGTCAAAAATTCAGCAAAAGATCTATTGTTGGCTGCAAGGGTTGAAAATCTTCAAATGATACACAATTTGGCATAGGGATAGCTCCCAACAATGGCTTCAAACATTTACTAATTACTACCAGAATAGGTAAAATTGAACTATCTTGAAAACAGCAAAACAAATCATTTAAAAAGAATCGCTTGACTCCCTCGAAAAGATGACATTTTCAGGTTTTTATTATAATGGCTCCGTTTGGTACCCATTTTTTTCAAAATGCATTTTTCTCTCTCTTCTTTTCAACCATACATTCTTTATTAAAATAATATTACACGTAAATCAAAAACTTTTCTTATTTTTCAACCACACATTTCCCATCAATTTACTATTCAAAATTACATAAAAATGTCTCCCAAACACCATGAATATGTAGTTGTGATAACTAACACCACCAAGCTCTTGACAAGTATTCGATCACGAAATAAGACCTCCAAAAGTAGTCCTGGAGTAACAAAGTGATTTAGATCAAAGCTAAATAAGGTTTTACATTCTGTAAGGACAAATAATATAGGAAAATGCAGGCCTAGATGCAAATGACGATCTGGAAGGGGAATATATTCAGATACTGGGGATGGATAAATATGAGAATCTTCAAAAGATTCAGTGATCACTGATGTACTCTATTTACTTCTTGGGGTGAAATTGCAGGATTCAAAATAGAATATATCCAAATCAGCAAAAACAAACCACGTTCACTGATAGGAGGAGGCACCAATGACTTGTGTATCTTGATCCCAAATGTGAAAACTAAACAGAACTTCCTTCTTATTAAGTAGCCAGAAATAAACTGCAATGACCACATCCTAACGAATTTGAAAAGTAAGAACAATCACATTGCAACTCCAAACACCTTCAGAAGTTACAACTTTCATGAACTTCCGTTATAACTACAACTGTAAGAATTTAAAAGAATCCTCTCCCACTTTCAAGTACTAGTGGAATTGTAATGCTGTGTAATTGCATACCTTTGAACTTGTGAACAAGATCAACACCATCCACAACTCGAATTCGTGAATCTGCAGATGTAATGAGAACTTCTGATGAACTCCCTGGTGCAAACTGTTCCAAGAAAAATATCAGTATTCATAAGACTAGATGGACTTGCACTTCATTTCTCAAAAATAAGAGAAGGTCATGTGTGGCTAAAGAAGCTATTATAGTCTAAAGAAGATAAAAGTGCATGCAGTGCGAATATCCATTAAATTATTACCTGGAAACCAGTAATTTTCTTATGATGAGATTTCTTCTTCTTATTCTCCAGATTGATCTGACTTTTTTGCTGTAATTTATTTTCTGGAAACAGGAAGCACGTAAATAAAAGGTGCACCAACCCTTGAACAGAATGTTTCACTTTTTTTGTATAATTAACATGAAGTTATAATCTCAAACCTGTTGTGATGTATAAGTGGCAACTCCCCTTGTATGAGCCAACTAGTGCACCCTTCAAAATCAACAACAATATCTTTAACTGGAGCATGTCCATAAGGTAAGCATTCATGCTCTAACCTACTCAGACAACATAAATTAAGTAGCAATTACAACATTTACAGTACCAAACCTGGCCATCCGGTGTATAGCAAGCTGCAGTGACCATTTCATGCAGATCACTCCAATCAACAACCTGGTGATCAGGAATGCTCCATATGCGCACCTTGCCATCCAGAGATCCACTGATGAAGTATCTATCATCAACAGGATTAAACTGGATGCAGGTTACTGTATAAAAGGAAATCCAGAAGACATTGTAATCAGTCAATTGATGAATTAAGATTTAACTATATCCGTTCAATTATAAGTAGCATTGTGCAAAAGTTATAAAACTATGTAGGGTTCAGGTATACAGGAAAGAAAGAGAATTCAGGTATACAGGGAAGAAAAAATTCAAGTATATTGGAAAGGGAAAGTACCATAAGCATAATATTACACAAGAAATATGGATGCTATGAAGTCATGCAAACCACTATTGAACATTTAATAAGCATGACAATCACAATAATAACTCTATCAGTTACATAACTGCTCCAATCCTGAAGTGCGCAACAAAGACCACCTCAAGAAAACAAAATCTGATCATCTAAGACAACCTTGTAAACCAACTTCTCATATTTAGGTTTGTCTCCAGCTTGTTTTTCTTTGTTTATTAACCACATTCCTGTAAATATGTCAAGATCTTATACAGAGGCAGCTTTAGGGGGCAGCCACCCTAGCTGGATTCGCTGGGGAGATTTTTTTTTATTTTTTATTTTTTGCTGATAATAGATAGAATTTTTAGATTATATATTTGATAATTCATATTAACAACAATACTGGTTAGCCCTTCCGCTATTGAATTGGAGGTCTTGTATTGGAAACTCTTCAAGAGCAATATTTTTTATAATTTTTGTATTTCAACAATTTTTACCAAAACAAATGTACGAAAGGTGATTTGAACCTACTACATTTCTCAAGCATATTGATCACTTTACCATCATGGAACTTATT